GATGGATGGATGGATGATAGATAGATAGATAGATAGATAGATGGATGGATGATGGATGGATGATTGATGGATGGATGATGGATGGATGATGGATGGATGATGGGCGACCAGCGGGCCTCGTCCTCGGGGTCACGTGTGTCTCGCTGTGATGGAGCGGTTTAACAGCGATAGCAGGACTCTGTGAGATGCAGCTCTTAAGTCCAGTCAGCTGTATTTCTACAGCGCTGTATACAACACAGATCAGCTTCACAGAGACAAAAATAGCAGAATCAATGATGAAAACTGTGTTTCAGTTCAGTTTCTGCTGTACAGCAGCTCTCAAACACAATAGAGTCATTATTGAGATCAATAGCGGTGATCGATCAGCTGTAGGAAGTTCTATAATAAGCAGCAGTGTTGTTATTCTGCTCGAGTCAGTTTCAGTTTAATTTGATCGCTTCACTTCTTTCGTTGTGTGTTTTCTGAAGTAATATAATCATCAGAAGGCCCGTTGGTTGTTCATATCTAAAGAATATATTTGTAATTTGTGCGTTTAGAGCAGGGTTTCTTCAGTTCCTTAAAGTCTCACATTCGGTTTGATCATGTTTAAGGCCATAAAAAGTCTTAAGTAGTATAACAAAAGTATTAATCATTTTAAGAGGTTTTAAATTTGGGAAAGGAAAAACACAGTTGCTGTGATATGCACATGATCGTTAAACTTCAAAAGGCTAAGACTAATTAAATAAACATGAGTGCTGCACATTTAAGTCAAAACATGGCACTGTTGCGCGTTCAACAGGATCAAGTATTGATATATGAGAACATAACCCAATTTACAAAAATATTGATTGAAACATGTCTTGAATATTTAAACTTGCAGTTACCCTGTTTTGCAGTTGAATGTGACACAGCCTGTTTCATTAATTCAAAAGGAATTTGGTTTATTTTGAGATTGTGTGGGTTTGTTTGTATATATATTTTATTTGTGCAGCTCTTAAAAACTTTAATATGATTTTTAAAACACAGCAGAAACCCTGTTAGAGGGAGACAAATGGCAGAAAATAACAACTTAATTTAACCTTAATAACCATAACATTGTTGGGCTGTCCTCTCACAAAAAAAATTAAATAAAAATAATAAAATAAAATAAGAAATACAAGTGCTTGATTGGTAATCTTTTTTATAGAAAAACACATTGAAAAAGACATTCAGTGCTGACAGAAAAGCTGATGATGGTTTCTGTCTTCAGTTCCTGCGCCTCCAGTGATCGATCTCTCTCGCTGCCGCGTTTATAACGAGGGTCTGATCCACTGGCGTCTGTCTGAAGACACTCTGCCCACCGATCATCACATTGTGGAGTTCAGGAAGCTGGGATCTGAGGAGGAGCAGGAGTCCGGCTGGAGCGCGAGCGAGCCTGTGTTCGGCTGCAGCACAGTGCTGTCTGACCTCAGCGCAGACTCCAGCTACACCTTCAGAGTCAAGAGCTGCAGGAACAGAGTCTACAGCCCCAGCAGCCCCGAGGTGACCCTCCACACGCCTCCAGCACCGGGTAAACACACGCACTCACTCACTCACTCACTCGCTCACTCGCTCGCTCTCTCTCTCACTCGCTCGCTCGCTCTCTCTCACTCACTCACTCACTCGCTCACTCGCTCGCTCTCTCTCTCACTCGCTCGCTCGCTCTCTCTCACTCACTCACTCACTCGCTCACTCGCTCGCTCTCTCTCTCACTCGCTCGCTCGCTCTCTCTCACTCACTCACTCACTCGCTCACTCGCTCGCTCTCTCTCTCACTCGCTCGCTCGCTCTCTCTCACTCACTCACTCACTCGCTCACTCGCTCGCTCTCTCTCTCACTCGCTCGCTCGCTCTCTCTCACTCACTCACTCACTCGCTCACTCGCTCGCTCTCTCTCTCACTCGCTCGCTCGCTCTCTCTCACTCACTCACTCACTCGCTCACTCGCTCGCTCTCTCTCTCACTCGCTCGCTCGCTCTCTCTCACTCACTCACTCACTCGCTCACTCGCTCGCTCTCTCTCTCACTCGCTCGCTCGCTCTCTCTCACTCACTCACTCACTCGCTCACTCGCTCGCTCTCTCTCTCACTCGCTCGCTCGCTCTCTCTCACTCACTCACTCACTCGCTCACTCGCTCGCTCTCTCTCTCACTCGCTCGCTCGCTCTCTCTCACTCACTCACTCACTCGCTCACTCGCTCGCTCTCTCTCTCACTCGCTCGCTCGCTCTCTCTCACTCACTCACTCACTCGCTCACTCGCTCGCTCTCTCTCTCACTCGCTCGCTCGCTCTCTCTCACTCACTCACTCACTCGCTCACTCGCTCGCTCTCTCTCTCACTCGCTCGCTCGCTCTCTCTCACTCACTCACTCACTCGCTCACTCGCTCGCTCTCTCTCTCACTCGCTCGCTCGCTCTCTCTCACTCACTCACTCACTCGCTCACTCGCTCGCTCTCTCTCTCACTCGCTCGCTCGCTCTCTCTCACTCACTCACTCACTCGCTCACTCGCTCGCTCTCTCTCTCACTCGCTCGCTCGCTCTCTCTCACTCACTCACTCACTCGCTCACTCGCTCGCTCTCTCTCTCACTCGCTCGCTCGCTCTCTCTCACTCACTCACTCACTCGCTCACTCGCTCGCTCTCTCTCTCACTCGCTCGCTCGCTCTCTCTCACTCACTCACTCACTCGCTCACTCGCTCGCTCTCTCTCTCACTCGCTCGCTCGCTCTCTCTCACTCACTCACTCACTCGCTCACTCGCTCGCTCTCTCTCTCACTCGCTCGCTCGCTCTCTCTCACTCACTCACTCACTCGCTCACTCGCTCGCTCTCTCTCTCACTCGCTCGCTCGCTCTCTCTCACTCACTCACTCACTCGCTCACTCGCTCGCTCTCTCTCTCACTCGCTCGCTCGCTCTCTCTCACTCACTCACTCACTCGCTCACTCGCTCGCTCTCTCTCTCACTCGCTCGCTCGCTCTCTCTCACTCACTCACTCACTCGCTCACTCGCTCGCTCTCTCTCTCACTCGCTCGCTCGCTCTCTCTCACTCACTCACTCACTCGCTCACTCGCTCGCTCTCTCTCTCACTCGCTCGCTCGCTCTCTCTCACTCACTCACTCACTCGCTCACTCGCTCGCTCTCTCTCTCACTCGCTCGCTCGCTCTCTCTCACTCACTCACTCACTCGCTCACTCGCTCGCTCTCTCTCTCACTCGCTCGCTCGCTCTCTCTCACTCACTCACTCACTCGCTCACTCGCTCGCTCTCTCTCTCACTCGCTCGCTCGCTCTCTCTCACTCACTCACTCACTCGCTCACTCGCTCGCTCTCTCTCTCACTCGCTCGCTCGCTCTCTCTCACTCACTCACTCACTCGCTCACTCGCTCGCTCTCTCTCTCACTCGCTCGCTCGCTCTCTCTCACTCACTCACTCACTCGCTCACTCGCTCGCTCTCTCTCTCACTCGCTCGCTCGCTCTCTCTCACTCACTCACTCACTCGCTCACTCGCTCGCTCTCTCTCTCACTCGCTCGCTCGCTCTCTCTCACTCACTCACTCACTCGCTCACTCGCTCGCTCTCTCTCTCACTCGCTCGCTCGCTCTCTCTCACTCACTCACTCACTCGCTCACTCGCTCGCTCTCTCTCTCACTCGCTCGCTCGCTCTCTCTCACTCACTCACTCACTCGCTCACTCGCTCGCTCTCTCTCTCACTCGCTCGCTCGCTCTCTCTCACTCACTCACTCACTCGCTCACTCGCTCGCTCTCTCTCTCACTCGCTCGCTCGCTCTCTCTCACTCACTCACTCACTCGCTCACTCGCTCGCTCTCTCTCTCACTCGCTCGCTCGCTCTCTCTCACTCACTCACTCACTCGCTCACTCGCTCGCTCTCTCTCTCACTCGCTCGCTCGCTCTCTCTCACTCACTCACTCACTCGCTCACTCGCTCGCTCTCTCTCTCACTCGCTCGCTCGCTCTCTCTCACTCACTCACTCACTCGCTCACTCGCTCGCTCTCTCTCTCACTCGCTCGCTCGCTCTCTCTCACTCACTCACTCACTCGCTCACTCGCTCGCTCTCTCTCTCACTCGCTCGCTCGCTCTCTCTCACTCACTCACTCACTCGCTCACTCGCTCGCTCTCTCTCTCACTCGCTCGCTCGCTCTCTCTCACTCACTCACTCACTCGCTCACTCGCTCGCTCTCTCTCTCACTCGCTCGCTCGCTCTCTCTCACTCACTCACTCACTCGCTCACTCGCTCGCTCTCTCTCTCACTCGCTCGCTCGCTCTCTCTCACTCACTCACTCACTCGCTCACTCGCTCGCTCTCTCTCTCACTCGCTCGCTCGCTCTCTCTCACTCACTCACTCACTCGCTCACTCGCTCGCTCTCTCTCTCACTCGCTCGCTCGCTCTCTCTCACTCACTCACTCACTCGCTCACTCGCTCGCTCTCTCTCTCACTCGCTCGCTCGCTCTCTCTCACTCACTCACTCACTCGCTCACTCGCTCGCTCTCTCTCTCACTCGCTCGCTCGCTCTCTCTCACTCACTCACTCACTCGCTCACTCGCTCGCTCTCTCTCTCACTCGCTCGCTCGCTCTCTCTCACTCACTCACTCACTCGCTCACTCGCTCGCTCTCTCTCTCACTCGCTCGCTCGCTCTCTCTCACTCACTCACTCACTCGCTCACTCGCTCGCTCTCTCTCTCACTCGCTCGCTCGCTCTCTCTCACTCACTCACTCACTCGCTCACTCGCTCGCTCTCTCTCTCACTCGCTCGCTCGCTCTCTCTCACTCACTCACTCACTCGCTCACTCGCTCGCTCTCTCTCTCACTCGCTCGCTCGCTCTCTCTCACTCACTCACTCACTCGCTCACTCGCTCGCTCTCTCTCTCACTCGCTCGCTCGCTCTCTCTCACTCACTCACTCACTCGCTCACTCGCTCGCTCTCTCTCTCACTCGCTCGCTCGCTCTCTCTCACTCACTCACTCACTCGCTCACTCGCTCGCTCTCTCTCTCACTCGCTCGCTCGCTCTCTCTCACTCACTCACTCACTCGCTCACTCGCTCGCTCTCTCTCTCACTCGCTCGCTCGCTCTCTCTCACTCACTCACTCACTCGCTCACTCGCTCGCTCTCTCTCTCACTCGCTCGCTCGCTCTCTCTCACTCACTCACTCACTCGCTCACTCGCTCGCTCTCTCTCTCACTCGCTCGCTCGCTCTCTCTCACTCACTCACTCACTCGCTCACTCGCTCGCTCTCTCTCTCACTCGCTCGCTCGCTCTCTCTCACTCACTCACTCACTCGCTCACTCGCTCGCTCTCTCTCTCACTCGCTCGCTCGCTCTCTCTCACTCACTCACTCACTCGCTCACTCGCTCGCTCTCTCTCTCACTCGCTCGCTCGCTCTCTCTCACTCACTCACTCACTCACTCACTCACTCACATACACGTGCTTGTAGCTGCGGCTCTGTTGTTTTGTCTATAAATACTACAGAAGTGTGAGAATTACACACTGTAATCAAAGCTAAAGATGAAAATGCTTGATATTAGATGTTTTTTTTGGCCAGGCTGTGTATAGCACAGTGATTAACCAGAAAATTTTAAAACGGCACTTCATGGCCAAAACATTGCCGACCCCTTGTGTGAATGAATTTTCCTTCAGTGATGATGCACACAAACACATTAATAGCTTTGACTTCTATTGCTTCAAACTGAAAATGAAATATGTTGTCAAAGGAGCCGTTGTAGAGGCAGCTGCTGTAACTGGAGATGCACTTCCTCTTCCTGTCCAGCAGGTGGCTGGAGAACATGCTTGATTCAGAAACTTCATTTCACTAGATCTCACAGCCACCTGTCAAGAAAAGGTCAGACTTCTAAAAGTAATGGAGCCGATCGCTACAAACAGTATTCCTGTCTGTCAGAGTTACAGAGGTTCAGGTTAGGGTTTATTTCAGCGGTCAGCACTGTGGTTGGCATGACCAATGAAATCTTTAGAATCAGCGGGTTTGTGCTTAATTGATCATTTGGGGAGAAAATCACATCCATCACTAATGGATACGTGTTATGACTGATTCTTTCTCCCTGATGATGTTGATTTAAATCTGTGTTAGTCAGATAGTGTGTCTCTGCTCCTCAGTGTTTGGCTTCCTGTTTAACGAGAAGTGTGGGTTCAGTGCGGAGCGGCTGCAGCTGAGCAAACGCAGGGACTCTGTGGAGAGCGTGGCGGGGATGAGCTTGCTCTTAGCTGCGGAGCGCGTGCAGACGGGGAGCTACATCTGTCTCGACTACATCATCGGTGACACAGGCATCTCTCACGGACGCCATTACTGGGCTTTCCGTGTGCAGCCTGATTCATACATGATCAAAGTGGGAGTGGCTTCTGACTCCAAACTAACAGAGTGGTTTCACAACCCACGAGACACCAGCAGCCCCCGGTGAGAACACACACACACACTCTCTCTCACTCTCTCTCACACACACACTTACACTCACTCACTCACTCACTCTCTCACACACACACACACACACAC